AAACTTTTACAAAAGAATGTTATTTTCCGATGGACATCTATCTGTGATCAGGCTTTTAATTTAATTAAAAAGGAAATAACATCTGATCAGATTCTTTGCGCATATAATCCGAAACTACCTTTAATTTTGGCAACCGATGCTAGTCCTAAAGGTTTGGGTGCAGTATTATCTCATATTTTTCCTGATGGTGAACGTCCTATTGTTTTTGCTTCAAGGAGTCTAACGAGAGCTGAAAAAAACTACAGTCAAATTGATAAGGAAGCAACTGCTATTTTTTGGGCATGTAATAAATTTTTTCAGTATTGTTATGGAAGAAAATTCACGCTGATTACTGATCATCAACCTCTAGTTTCTATATTTAATCCAAACAAAAATCTTCCCAGTATGGTAGCTACTCGAATGCTTCATTACGCTCAATTTTTGCAAGGCTTTAATTATGACATTATTTATCGTTCTAGCGAAAAACACTTAAATGCTGATGCACTCTCGAGATTGCCTCAAAAAATCACTCCAGTTTTCAATCAAACAATGGATGGCGTTACAATTCATCAGTTACAACAAATTCTAACGTTACCAGTTACGCATAGAGAAATTGCTAATGAAACACAAGAAGACCCAATATTAAGAAATGTTTACAAAAGTTTACAAACTGGAAAGAAAATTGAAGAAAATGAATTTAAAGGGAAAGATATAGAATTTTCTTTAAACGAAGGTACTATAGTAAAAGATTCACGTATTGTTGTGCCCAAAACGCTTCGTCAAAGAGTATTAAAAGAATTACATGAAGCACATACCGGTATAGTGAGAATGAAATCACTTGCACGTTCTTTCGTTTGGTGGCCAAGAATAGATCTTGATATTGAAGAATTGGCTAAGAAATGTCAAAGTTGTCAATCTATGTTACACAACAAAACTAATATTCCACCGCATTGTTGGGAAACTCCGAAAGGACCGTGGCAGCGCGTACATATTGATTTTGCGGGACCGTTTCAAGGAACATACTTTTTAGTAATTTGCGATGCATATTCTAAATGGCCTGAAATTTTTATTACCAAGTCCATGAATACTTTGAAGACGATTTCAATTTTACGAGGTGTTTTTGCACGTTTTGGCTTACCTGTAACTTTGGTTAGTGATAATGGAGGATCTTTTACATCACAGGAATTTAAGAATTTCCTAAAAACCAATGGAATTATACATAAATTTACTGCACCATATCATCCCGCATCAAATGGCCAAGTTGAAAGATATGTGGGAACCATGAAGAATACTCTAAAGAAGATGGTAGATGACCCAGGAGATCTTGATTTGAAACTTCAAAATTTTTTAATGCAATACAGAAAAATACCCCACACTTCAAATAATCAGTCACCTTCTCAATTAATGTATGGGAGAGACATACGAACTAAATTAGATTTAGTTAGATTTCAAAAACCCATTGAGGTGGCAAATCAAGCATCTTCTAAATTTATGGTGGGTGAAAGCGTTCGAGTGAGACATTTTGATAGTAGGAAAAATTGTCTATGGAAATTTGGTAGAATTTTGAAGAGAGAGAGCAATCTTATTTATTTGATTGAAATGGAAGACAGAATAATCAGAAGACATATAAACCATATTGCTTCAACTAAAGTTGAGTGTCCAGTATCACAGCCTAACGTTTGTTATGTTCCAGAGGCAAAGCAAACTCTGGACACCGAAAATACCACAAGAGATAATGTTGTAGGTGCTTCATCTACTCAACATTTTTCTTATATTGATCCTGAGCAAAGTAAAAGCACAATTATAATTTCCGATTCGACTCCAGAAGTTTCCACTTCGGCGGAGATGATATTAGATGATCAAGAACCGAGAGACCAAGAGACTTTTCCGGTGGAAAGTACTGATCAAAACATTGAAACTTTTTACCAATCAAAAACCAAACCCAATCAGATACCAGAAAATGCTGAGACATTGCGAAGAAGTATTAGAACGAGAAAACAACCAGAAAAACTGAATCTTTAAATTTGCCAGGGAGGATTTGTAGTGTCCACTATGCACTAAATTATATTGTTCACCTTTACCAGTTAATTGTTGTATGTCATTATGTCAGAGTATGTGAAAATAAAGTTCATATTAAATAGTCAGTAAACTTATCATATCTGCTATTCAAATACTGTACTTCCATAATCAAAGTAAATACATAATACTCATGACTGTACTTATTTGGTATCGATATTCAGTTAAAAATAATGTTTTTTTTTTTCCGCAATAAACTCACTGTCTGCATCAAGTCGGGACACATCTATCATGCATTCTTCCGATCCGACTCCGATCATACAATCAGGGTCCTTATTCTTGGAACAGGGGAGCAGCAGAACACTCGTTCTCCTGGGAACGCTGCTCCCTGTTCCAAGAATAAAGACCCTGATTGTATGATCGGAGTCGGATCGGAAGAATGCATGAAAGATGTGTCCGGGGCTTCATTTGTTTAGGTAATTTTCTAATGGCCGGTATTTTAAAACACTGAATCGATGATTGAGTTCCAACCTTCGGTTGACTCCATGCAAATTTATAGGATTCAACCGAAGGTTGAAACTCTACCATCGGTTCAGCGTTTTATAATACCGGCCCTAAGTCAAGTGAAATTCAATTTCGTTGAATGTAATGAAAATGTCCGCCAATTTTTCAAAGTACTTAAGTAATTTTGAAAAAATGGAAAAAAAATAGGAATACGAACTCTCTTTTACTGCTTTCTTGTTCAAAAGACTATTTCTAGGCGGGGGCAAATGCCCCCTCTTGCCCCCCCCCTCCCCAAACGACGCCCATGCCGGCGTCACCAGGTCGCACGACCCCTATATAGCTACTAGCAGAAACAGATATAGCAGTATGTGCTCATAAGAAGAGGGCAAAGCTCGGGGTAAAGTTTGTGTTTGGGTTTGCAAAAGAAATGGAATCCTGAATATTATGAAGAAAAGCAAAATTGAAAAGTTTTTTTTTTGTTGCGCTTTGCCGCCCCCTTAAATTTGCCGCCCTAGGCGACCGCCTAGTTCGCCTAATGGTTGCGCCGACCCTGACTCCATACCATTTCAATCACATTAAATTGACAATGGTATGGAGGCAAGCGCAAAACCTGGTGACCCGCTTCCATAATGACATTGTCCACAACAAAGGACTTCTTCGTCTTGGGAACTTGTAGGATGCTGTTCCACAAGCTTGCTTTTGTAGAAGCTGGCTGAAAAGGGATAGCCTTGGCCTCCAACTACCTCTGCATTTCGTTTTTCTTCCAGCTCAGAACAGGCCACTTTTCAAGTAGCCTGCTATGGTATGACGCATTATCCAAGATGATAATGGATGCCGGATGGTTCTTCTAGTTTGGGAAGAAAAACGTTTCGCAGCCAATTTTCAAAATTTTCGCTGTTCATCTCCCCATGGTAATCTCCTGAATTGGTTTTCGATTTGAAAATCAGGCTGGAACCATCGATAAAACCATCTTGTCCTCCCGCATGTAAAATTATGAATCTGAAACACAATGTTGCATTATTCTAGTTAAATAATAACCACAGATTACTTACATACAGATGCGAAAGAGCTGCGAATTCGTGGTTCAAGATTAATTTGATAGACATAGGCTGGCCGCACCAATGCCACATCAATGTATTTTGAACATATTTATTATATAAATGCGGAAGCTCAATAATATAATATTATTTCTTTAATTGGTTCACAAACAGCAAAAAAATATTTTTTTCTATCCGCAAAAATATGTAAACACACAGGCTGGAACATGCTCACGCACTTGGCCACGTTAATTGTCCTGACGCGGGCGATCTTTATCTATGCGTCGGGGCGCTGGCGGCCCGGCTTCGTCACAGAATATCGTCGACGACAAGTATACGTACTTTCGCATCTGTATTAGGTAATCTGTGTAATAACATAACAGTCTCTTTAGGAATTCCCTTAAAAATATTATTTATTTGACTGCATCCTTTTTAGCAATTGCTGAGCCGCTGAGCCACAGGGTTCCCATAAATTATTGGTCTCTATAAAAGGATTATTTGCTTATTTTTACTAAATTTGAAAACACTACCTTGTCACTTTCCCTCTTGGTCTTGCTTGGAGAAAAAAAAGATTCGTCTCGTAAAGAAGAAGCATCTCCAAGGTTTATTGCTGTTCCCTGAAAATTATTGGCGTAGAATTATGACAGTGGTAATTAAAAATTGCTAATTTCACCTATTTTCTTCTACACCTAAATCATCTGAGATGCTGGAACAGGGCAAAGTCTGGACCCTGGTACGATCGGACTTCTCCGAGGACTTTTCTGTCATCGCTAATAAGAAAACAGCACTTTTAAAATCGTAATATTGCGTAAGTATTAGGAGTTTTAACTTACCTGAAGAAGATAAAATAACCCAGATAAGTCTTGAAAGAGTCCAAAGTGAACACTTATAAAAAGACAAAACACTTAAATCCTAACTAAAACCAGGTTTGAAATGAAACGCAAGACCGAAACACAAAGGTACAGAACACTACATAAAAAACCAATAAACCGATGGATGAGAATATAACAAAATATCAAAAAATAATGCAGAAAATGGCTATAAACTAAAACGCGCAAAAATTCGAAATTCAAAATTCTAAGATCCGAATCTGATAATTTTATATGTCAAATCGAAATGTCATATATCATTATTTGAAGGTTGACAGAAAAAGGGACAGATCTAGGGATTTTATTTACTTTCAACTGGTGAAAATAACGGTCAAAATTCAAACTCTATCGTGAATACGACTATATTAGTTCATTGAATTCACCATATTAGTTAGGTTAGAAAAAGTAAGCTTTCGCAGCTTGAAATGTAAATATGTAACTATTTAGGTGTTCGGAGGTATTAAATACACCTCGCACCTAAAAGTAAGCTTTCGCATCTTGGAATGTAAATAACTATAGTTCAATTCTTGATATCGTGGATTGGTAGCTACTTTCAGACACACAATTAGTTCTTCTTCTTACTAATTTTATAGCGCCGTAAAAAAATAAGATTTTTTTTGTTCCATCCCGAAAAGGAAGGCAAGATGGTTTTTTTCTGAAATTTTTTTTATTGAAAATATTTGTTTACATATTTATATTTTGGGCTAGGATAAAGATTCAGACTTGCGGTTTTCACCAGTTTCCTTATTTATTCATCCTCTTTCCATCTAAATTATAAAAAAAGCATCATTATATTTGAAATTTCCAAGAAAAAATGGAAAATTGTCGACTTTTAGACACAGCGCCCCCTAGCGGCAACAAAACAATTTAATTTGGTCATTTTTATTATGCATTTCATTAAACAGAAAAAAACTCTTCCAAATGACACCAGATTCATTTAAATCGGTTGAAAAACAAAAAAGTTATATAACTTTTGTTCCTGACAAGTTTGAACCTTCCCCCACCTCTTATTTGAAGAGTTAGAGCAAAAAATCCTTAACAAAATTTTTTCGTAATCTCATCAAGATTTCAATAATCATATTTTTAGGATACCTTAAGTGGGCGTTTTTTGAAGATAATCACAGTATTATGTTTTCGAGTGTTCGTTGCGCCCCCTAGCGGTCAACTTACAAACTTGAAAACTATTTCCAGCAATTTTGGCCTATTTTATAAAAAAAATTTTTACTTGGAAGCTCTAGGACTAATAGTTCCTGGGATATAGCCGGCGACCTTTCTTATTTGGACACCCGGTACATCCGCACATGGAATACTTATTTCGCTTAAGTGTGTCAAGGGACACTAAGTAGGAAAAAGCACATAGGTATCCCGATGAAGCATTGGACAGATATGTGAGGGGCAACTAAAAACTGAAACACAAATTATTGTTGTTTTACGAGCTGACTATATAATTTAAGTTAAAAAATTACACTAATAATCATAATCAAGTTTGACACAAATAGTAGCTTTGTTTTAACAAATTATGTACAATAATTGTATTGACTAAAAAATCTTTAATAATTAATATGTCATCATAAGTATTTCTTTCAATTCGTTATTACACTAAATAAATCACTTGTGTTTTTTTTTTTTGTTATAGCTTAAATTAACAGAAAAAAAATAATTTACAGAAATAAAGACAAAGGATAACAGGCTGGCTATATTGAATTAATGTTTGACATAATTTTGAGCATTTACCTAAAATAATCAAATTAAACAATTCCACCCGCATTCACATATTCCATTTATTATATGGCTGTAAAAGTTTTCAAACTGTGAACGAATAGCAAATCATGAAATGCTGTTCCAAAAATTGGTGTAAATTGTTGTTTTTGGAACACCTCATAAAAAAATTCACTATGAATTAAACAAATTAATTTTTTAATAACTAACAAAAACTGTTGTCCTTTAATTTTAATTGCTGTAAAAAAAAAAAGGTTCTATATACATATAAAATCATGTTCCTGGTGAAATTAGACAAAAATAAAATTAACAAAATATCTACAAATAAAAATCTTTGAAAAGAAAAAATACATTTTTGATTGTTAACATTTTTTTAAACCTATGTATGCTCTATGTGGATAAATTTTTTGAAGCATCTGAGCTGGGTTTTTAATTAAGTGGTTTTCTTTACTACATACATACTTGCATTTGCTTAAAAAATTGGAAATAACTAATAATTAGGGGTTTTCTCTAATACATACATGTAACCCTACCTTATCACCATTCGATTTTTTGCAATAATTATTATTATGCAAAAAATTAAATTTTAATCTAACCACCCTCTACACTCATTGGAAAAAAAAAGTTAGAAAAAAGCGATTATTTTTTACATTATTATTTTTTATACAAATACTTGTAAAGCCATTGTTAAAGAGGATTTCAATTATATTTCAATAATTAATATTAAGCGTATATACCAAAATTTTTGGTATAGTTAGTCTTTTTTTTTTTGTTTAGTTACGTCACTATTTTAGTTAGTTTTAATTTAGAATATACTAGTTCACCTTCAAAACCAAAAATGTATAACATTTCAGAAGTATACTGCATGCAATACGTATTTAAAGTCACCCTTGGCGATATAGTACTTAATTAAGAAAAAAAAGGTGGGAATCTTTAAATAATTAAAATACATATAAGTCGTTTATTTTACATGGTAAATAATGAGAGTTTCAACAGTGAAAATATAATGTGTCATGAAACAACATTATTTAAAATTGTGCTATTCAATTTGGAAAACATCCTCTAATGATGATACCTATAAGAAGGGAGTTGAAATTCTTGGAGAAAGAAAATAGAGCCTGCATGATTCCAATGTCCGCAATAAAATTTGCAGCCTCTTTATGCTAGACAAATAGCACATTCGAGAGGTCCCAAAATGCAATTCCATATCGGAGGTTTGATTCAAATCAGGCAAAATTGACCCGCTCGCGCCCTTACGGCCATCACAGCAAAATAGCCCAATGAAAATGTCAAAATGTGGTCTTCAAAACGAAGATCCCCAAACGTCCAGAAAATTCCATCTCTTCCTGGCTATTACTAGGGTCTGCTAATGCTAATGGCCCATTCTCATTTATTCTATTTATATCCACTTTACCCATATTATTAACTCTCATGGAAACCCTTACAGAGTGAACATGGTTGTCTCTTTCAAATACACGACGTTCTTCATTATTGTATCTAGGAATCTAGGAACTATTATAATGTGCGATTCATCATCTGAACTATCTGATAAAGGCTAAGGTATTATTACATGTTTAGTTTTCCTGGTTTTTCTGGCAGAGAAGATGGTTCTTCTCCTAGTTGGTTCTGGAGCATATTGAATTTCTATGTTGTTTCTTAAAATGTTGCAAAAGGTAGTAAGACATGAAACTTGAAGGGATATTAGTTGAACCTCAAATGGTATAATATGCTCAAGAGAACTACCAGAAGGTGAAATTAAGCGGCTCCGTAATATAACCAGTCATACACCATGGAGGACTCGCTGGCAAGACTCAAGACCTTACCGTGACAACATTTGGGTTCACAATAATTAAACTCATCCATGGCCCCCGTTTCTTGAAATCTTTAAGCTTCCTATTTGTATACTAGACAATATCGACCATCATCTAAACTACAGTGCCTCTATACAAGACAGTGGCGACAATAGAGGGCTCATTTTTGATTGACTGCAGAATATTGGCTATGTTTTGTTGAAAGTTATTTGTGTTTACTGTTTGATTTCATGGAGATTTATGCAATTTTGTGTTAATATATTTTCGTTTTTGTTATTTGTGCCTGTTATTGACTATTTTGTGACAAAAAAATTAGAACAGAGGGAAAAGAAAAAACAAATACATTATTGACTGAGTTTGACAAATCATGGCGGGAGGGCGGAGCTTAGGCGCTAAAGTTATTTGTGATAACCATTTGATCCTACGGAGATTTATGCAATTTTATGTTAATATAATTTTGTTTTTGGTTATTTGTGCCTGTTATTGACTATTTTGTGATAAAAAGTTAGAACAGAAAGAAAAGAAAAAACAATAACATTATTGACTGTGTTTGACAAAACATGGCGGATGGGCGGAGCTTAGGCGCTATTGTCGCCACTGTCTTGTATAGAGGCACTGTAATCTAAACTATCCAGTAGAAGCGGAGGTATTATCACTATCACATATTTTATTTTTCAGATTTTTGTGGCGGGGGAGATGGTTCTTCTCCTAGTTGGTTCTGGAGCATACTGGGTTTCTATGTTATTTCTTAAAACGTTGCAAATGGCGAGACATGGGACTTGAAGGGATATTGGCTGAACCTCAATTGGTTTGATATGTTCAAAAGAAATACCAGAAGGTAAAATTAACGTAGACAAACTAACATTTAAAAGATGCCTGTTTTGTAAAAGGAGTTAGATGGTAAAAGCATAATTCCATCAATTTTGAGAAACCTTCCTATAAATGATACATATTCATCTCTACGAGCATAAATTTGATCATATATCATGCAAACCTCGCTGGAAAGACTCAAGGCGGGCGGCCACTGCGAGCGGAACGAAACTAAGCTAAGCGAAGATAAGCTTTCAGTAAATTAGTTACCATTCTCTCAAATATACCCTCGGTCATTTTAGCTAAACTAAGCGAAGATTAAAATCTTAGTTTCGTTTCGTTCGATTTAGCTCGTGTCAGATTCGAACGAAGTTTTTCACTGCGAATTTATTATTTATTTACTTTCATACTTTCCACTGTGTTTGCATATAAAAAGTATGATTCTACAGATGCTGACCTTGAATGCAAATCCATTTCTATTGCAACAGGATTCATTCTAACTTTCTTCAAGCAATTACTGTAAACAAATTTGGGACCACAGCCTTCGTTTCTTGAAATCTTCAAGCTCCTTATTTGCATACTCGATCTTGACAATATTGGCATGTATGTACATACTTCTATGCCATGATTGATATCATTGGAACCCAAAATCAGTCCGACCATAGTGCTCATAGGTCCAGTATTTACATTTTTCTATATTAAATCTTAGAAAATTCGGATTCTTGGACTGGAACTTGTCGTCAGAATCCAGGATTCTGCGCAAAACCTGCCGAAAGGATGAAGTTGCCTCGTTCAAAGTTTCTCGGTACGCGCGCCAAGAGCAATGTGAGTTTATGTAGGATTTTAATATAAATTATCGCCAGAAGATTTAAAAAATCAGTATTCAACTAGTATTCAAATATCAACGTTGTTTCACTCACAAAAACCTACTACGGCCAAACCACTCGGCCAATCTTTTATGGTCCTTCAAACTTAACCAAGAACAAGGCCCAGACGCCGCCCAAATCAACAACGCCTCAGTCGCCGCCCTAACCAACAAGGCCTCAGGTGCCGCCCGAACCAACAAGGCCCCAGACGCCGCTCAAATTAACAATATGACAGAGCTCAAAATAACAAGGCCCCAGAAGCCGCTGTAGCTACAAGCTAGGAACACCTGTAAAAACAACAAAATCCACAACCAAACAAGAAGATGGATTAAGCAAACCAAATAGCACGACAGCAACAGGAAGCTACCGACAAGTCAGATCAACTGCTGAAAAACACAAAAAAAAGACACTCCTAAGAGAAAAACGACAGCATACATCATAATTACCTAGCTATGAGAACCTAGCTTGAACAAGCATATCAGTTTGCTCCCTATTTTTCTATTTTTTTCTGTTTCTATTTCAAGCATGAAATAAATGATATCAAGACCAAAGGACATATTTCAAAAAACAGTAAATTTTTATCCTTAAATCCATACATTGAAAATGATATTTTGCAAGTAGGAGGACGATTGAAATTTTCCAACTTATCTCCAGACCATAAAAAATCATATTTTATTACCCAACAATCATTATTTTTCTGAATTATTAATATGTAATACATGAGCACATATGAACTTTATATGGTGGTATTCAAACTGTACTATCTTCACTTAGAACAAAATATTAGATATTAAACGGTAAGTCCACAGTCCGAAAGTTTTTACGGAAATGTTTATTATGTTTTGAAATCAAACCACCATCAATAATCCCAATTATGGGACATTTAATACCTTCAGCTCGGGTTAATCCTTCATCGCCATTCTCTTCTACAGGTATAGATTTTGCAGGCCCTATTCTGGTGAAAGATGGTACTTTGAGATGCAGAAAATTAGTTAAAACGTACATCTGTGTTTTCATTTATTTGTCTTTGTACAAAAGCAATACATTTAGAACTGGTGGGTGATCTATCTACCCATTCTTTTCTCAACGCGTTGAAAAGATTCATATCAAGAAGAGGGATTTGCAATGACATATACTCTGATAATGGTTCAAATTTTCTTGGGGCAAAAAACTACATTTTTGAGGTCTATGACAAATTAAATATAATACAATCTGATTTAACAGCCAAAGAATTTTTGTTGGAAAATCGTGTGACATGGCATTTCATTCCACCTCGCTCTCCAACTTTTGGTGGAATTTTGGAATCCGCCGTAAGAAGCATGAAGTATCATTTAGTTAGAGTAGTCGCTGAACATGAGAATCTATATACTATTCTTACCCAAATTGAATCCGTATTGAATTCCCGACCTTTGTGCCCATTATCCAACGATCCTAACGATTTTAATACCCTCACCCCTGGACATTTTCTGATTGGACGACAATTGAATGCACTGCCTGAAGAAAATATTGAGCACATTCCGACAAATAGACTTTCAAAATACCAGGAAATCCAAAAAATGGTACAACATTTTTTGAAACGTTGGTCAAACGAGTATCTGCACAATTTACAATAACGAAATAAGTGGATGATTGATGATTCGCAAATCGTCAAACCTGGATTACTTGTTCTTATTCGCGATGATAATGTATCACCAATGCTCTGGAAAACTGGAAAAATATGTGAAGTATTTTCAGGTAGTGATAACATCACACGCGTAGTATCGGTGAAAACTCATTCTGGAACATTGAAACAAGTTGTAAACAGGCTATGTGTTCTGCCTATAGAGCAATAGCAAGTATTTTCTTTATGTACAGGGTGGCCCAAATTCGAGCCTCATCATTGGGATCTTGAAAACCGTGAGAGATACAGGGTCGGTTAAATTATGGCAAAGTTGTGCAATTTTATGAACAATAGAATGCCGTTTTGAAATTAGAAAAATTCCGAATATATTCGGAAAAAACCGAAATTTTGTAAAATCGTTTTTATTTTTTCCCGGGCTTATTTGAAAAGCAATTTTAAAATGAAGGTCACTTCATCATTGTCACTTTTTCCCCTTTAGAAGACGGTGCTACTAAATTTAAAATTCGACGTTTCGTCTTCAGGCGGTCATCTTCAACTTACTATTTTTAAATACGGACCTGGATTTTTTATTTGTAATTTTGTTATCTTAGGGCATCCTAAAACCGATACTGTTAAGCTAAGATATATTAAAAACGACTCACTCAAATATGATCAGTATATATATATTTGGAATCAGGAAGAAAATATCTTTAATTTTATCGCAATAATATACAGGGTGTTCCATTGAAAAAAGTTGAAGTTGCCTACGTTTCTCCATTTTCCGATGCGATTTTGTTTTTTCTGATACTGTCAAAAGAAAATATAGAAAAAAACTGTCAAGTTTTGTATTTAAATTTTTTTTCTATCTTAAATAGTAAAGGCTGTAGGTATGGTGCCAAATATAATCAAATACCCTGTACAGGGTGGGCCAAATTGGACACTTTCTTATGGAAACACCCTTTATTTTCAGAGATAGAAAAAAATGGACCCCCCACTCTGAGGCTCAAATTTCATGAAATCTTGATTGGTGCAAACCGCATTTTGATATCTTCAACCGTTTAGCCGCTAGAGGGCGATTCTCGATTTTGAGCAATACTGTAAAGCCTCTATAACTTTTTGTTTATGCAAATAATTCATTTCCGTACAGACATTTTAGAAGCACTTTTTCAAGCAGAATTCAGTGACATTCTTAGTTTTTTTCTGCCTGGCTTCGATTTCGAGTTTTCGAGAAAAAAAATTATTTCGGTTTTTGCCATAAGAAACAATGTGTTGGAAAAGGACTTTATCTCTGTAAGGAAATTGAGAAAGGTCTCTTTCTAACACATTGTTTCTTATGACAAAAACCGAAATATTTTTTTTCCCGAAAACCGTTAGAGATAAACCTATCGAATCCTATATCATTGAAATCAGCAAAAGCAGAGCTTTTCAATGAGCTATTAATATATAGAGTGTCATATTGAAAAAAATCGGATTTTGATCAATATTTCGAAATCGAAGCCAAACAGAAAAAAACCAAGAACGTCACTGAATTCTGCTTGAAAAAGTGCTTCCAAAAGGTCTTTACGGAAATGAATTATTTTCATAAACAAAAAAGTTATGGAGACTTTACAGTATTGCTCAAAATCGAGAATCGCTCTCTAGCGGCAAAACGGTTGAAGATATCAAAATGCGGTTTGCACCAATCAAGATTTCATGAAATTTGAGCCTCAGAGTGGGGGGTCCATTTTTTTCTATCTCTAAAAATAAAGGGTGTTTCCATAAGAAAGTGTCCAATTTGGACCACCCTGTACAGTGTGATTTTTTAAGTGTGCAACATATGGGGATTTTTTTTAGTAATAGCACAATCCAAATACAAACAAGGCCAAAAGTTGGTGCATGTCTGATAATCATATTAGGTACACTTAGAATGGTTGCAAGTCAAACGGCATACAGGGTAGCTCAAACAATATCAAAGCTGGTACTGTAAAGTACTCTTATTCTAGAAAATTCAGCAAAATGTTATAGAGAAAAGTTGTTTAGAATTAAAAGTTATGCCTAAATACCAAAACATAGCCTTGTAAGATTTTTTTTGTTTTCTTTCCAAAAAAATCTATAATTTCTATATTTTTTTAATTTTTTATATCCGCCCTTAATACTTTCAAAAATTAATTAAAATCAAATCAATTTTACATACCTTTGTTCAAATTCAAGCATATTTGTAAAATTAACTTAGATTTTTAATTTTTTATGGAATCACAAAATTCATGTTTGTTGCAATGATATTCAACACAACTTTAAAATGTCGCAATTTTTTTTTTAACAAGTTAAAACTGTAAAGTATGAACATGAACGCACACCTCGTCACATGACGTAGTTTAATGTCAATTGTCAACCTGCGGATTTACAATAAATCATTTCAGTGTCCACTAGAACGTCGTTTAATTCACAACCTCCTCCTCCTAACCACACATAAGATAAGACATGGCGTAGTCGGAAATTTTTGAAAATCGGCAATCATCTTAAAAAGTATAGAAGTTTTTTAAAATTTTATGGAATAAAAAGAAGAAAATGGACTTCCGTGGTATTTCACCGATGATATTTTCGGGAAATTTGTCCGAAAATTGGAGATTCTGGAAACAAAGATTCATCATGTACCTCAGAGCCACAGAAATTTCAAAAAAGGATGAAGCTACTCAATGTGCCCAGCTTTTGACCTTAATTGGAGATGAAGGTATGCGTATTTTTAATACTTTCAAAATTGCTGAAGCTGATGAAAACAAAATTGAAAAATTGATTGAAAAATTTGATGCACATTTCTCGCCTAAAACTAATTTATCCTATGAAAGATATAAATTGTTAAAATGCAAACAGAAAGAAGGACAAACTATGGAAAATTATATTACTGAAATCAAGAATTTTGCTTTATCTTGCGAACTTAGGGACTTGGAAAGTTCCCTACTCAAAGATATTATCATATGTGGCATTTTATCTGAATCCTTGAGAGAAAGACTATTGTTGGATGAAAATTCCACGTTGGATGATGTAATTAAAACATGCATCAATTCAGAGAAGACCAAAGAAAGAAACAAATACATCACAAATGGTTCCTCCGCCCATGGTTCGTCAGGTGATCAACATATTGATGCCATATCAAGACTCAGAGCCCCACCAATCAACTTTCATGGTCCTAAAAATAAGGGACAACAGAGACCGAAATGTGGAAAATGTGGATACAGCCATGGACTTCAACAGCGCTGTCCAGCAAGAGGAAAACAATGCAAGTTATGTAAAAATTTTAATCATTTTGGTTCTGTTTGTAGATCTTCAAATTCAAATTTTTCTAATAATTACTCAAGTTCTTTTAATAGGTACAATAAATTCAGTCAGAATGATAGAGGTGTAAATGGCAATGGGAATCATGTAAGACATAACACTAAAAATAATCATTTTAAGTTTCGTAAAAGTATCAATTCCATAGAGAGTAATCGACAAAATTCTGAAGGTGATTTTCTTTTCATAGATAGTATCGAGACATGGCCTTCAACATCAGAAATCCGGGCATCTGAGGTGAATGGAGTCTCAGCAGGCCCTGGAGGAGTGTCGTGGGCTATGGTACTGACAGTTGAACAGCAACACAACATCAATTTCAAGCTAGACACAGGAGCGATGGTAAATGTTATTCCAATTAGATTGTTGCATAAAATTAATTTTGATCCTGCAAAAATTGTTAAAACCCCAGTAACTTTGTGCTCTTATACGCAGGACCGTATTCCAATTGTAGGCAAAGTAGATCTAAACTGTAAACATAAAGAAAAATCATTTTTAATTTCATTTTTTGTCAATACAATGGAAAGTAGCATTCCAATTTTGGGTTTGAAATCATGTATTGATTTGAATCTTATTCAGAGAATAGATAGTCTAGAAACATCAAATACCTTAGCTCAAAGGGATAATAATTTGCAGTTATTGCTCAATAAATATAGTTATTTGTTTCAAGGTCTGGGTTGTTTAGAAAAAGTTTATAAAATTGAATTAAAAGGGGATGCAGTCCCTGTAGTTCATCCAATTAGAAAAGTTCCTTTTCCAATTATGGAAAAAATGAAGCATTCTTTAGATCAGTTAGTACATCAGAGGGTTATAAAAAGAGTGAATGGAAGTACAGAATGGGTGAATGCATTTGTAATTGTGAGAAAGCCAAATGGAGACCTAAGAATTTGTCTGGACCCAGCAGATTTGAATCGATCAATCAAGAGGCATTATTTTAAAATTCCAACATTAGAGGAGTTGACTCTAAAATTTTCAGCTGCAAAATATTTTTCCACCCTGGATGCTGCTCAAGGTTTTTTACAGGTTCCTTTAGATGAGGAGAGTTCTAAGATGACAACTTTTGGAACGCCTTGGGGCAGATATTGTTTTTTGCGAATGCCATATGGGTTAACTAGTGCCCCAGAAGTTTATCAAGAAAGAATGAATGAGATTTTTGGTGATATTGATGGATGTAGTATATATGCGGATGATTTAATAGTTTATGCAGATTCCCCAGAAAAACATGATAGAATTTTGAAAAAAGTCTTTGAAACAGCTGCAACAAAGGGCATCAGGTTTAATAGAAATAAATTTAATTTTTTTGTTGACAAAGTCAAGTATATGGGACACCAGGTTTCAGAGAAGGGATTAGAACCAGACGGTTCAAAGATTGAGGCTATTAAAAATATGCCTAGGCCCAGAGATAAAACTGATGTGCAGAGATTTTTGGGATGTATAACGTATATAGGAAAGTTCATTAAAAGTTTATCTGTAATAACGGCCCCCTTGAGAGATCTTTTAAAGAAAGACGTAATTTTTCAGTGGTTAGATGTGCATGAAAGAGCATTTTTGAGGTTGAAAGAAATGGCGTGTAAAAGCCCATGTTTGCAATTTTTTGATATACATAAAGTTACAACTATTTCAGTAGATGCTAGTCAAAAGGGTATGGGTGCTGTATTGATGCAGATGGGTAAGCCTTGTGCATATGCATCAAGATCTTTTACAGCAACTCGGCAAAGATATAGTCAAATAGAGAAAGAATTACTGAGCATTTTTTTTGGCATTGATAGATTTTCTCAATTCATATATGCTAAACATTTCATTGTGGAAACAGATCATAGACCTCTTATTCACATAATTAAAAAGCCACTTAACGAATGTCCTGCTAGGTTACAACGTATCTTGATTCAATTGAGGAAATATGACTTTGATTTGATTTATAAACCAGGAAAACAGTTGATTATAGCTGATACTCTGAGTAGAGCCTTTGAGCAAGAAAAAACTTTTAATGAAAATCTGGATATTGAAGTAGAGGCACATGTATGTTTAATTTCTATGCAATTAAATGCAACTCAGGATAGAATTTTGGAATTAAAAAATAATACAAAGAAAGATAGGGACCTCAAAGCTATCATTGATTTCATAAATAATGGCTGGCCGAATTGTTATAAAAAGATACCAAATCACTTAAAATTTTATTATAAAGTAAGAGGTGAACTTAATGTCATAGATGGTTTGGTGTATAAGAGCCAAAAGTTGATTGTTCCTAAAGATAGTAGAGCTCATATCTTGAATAAAATTCACTATATTCATATGGGAATAAATAAATGTCTGGCTAAAGCTCGCCTTTCTTTTTTCTGGCCAGGCATGAATAAACAAATTCAAGATATAGTAACATCATGCCACTTGTGTCAGGCTTATCAAAAGAGTCAGATGCCTGAGCCTATGACTTCTCACGGGTTTGATGAGATTCCGTTTAGCAAGGTTGCAGTGGATATTTTTCATTTGTTTAACGAGTCATATCTTCTTTTAGTTGACTACTACTCTAAATTTGTTGATGTCATGAATCTAAATAGGGATCTTTCAAGTTATAATGTAATTTGTAAATTAAAATCATGTTTTGGACGGTTTGGAATACCAATGACTGTCATGTCAGATTCAGGCCCTGAATTTGTTAGTTTTGAGTTTGCTAGATTCGCTAAGCAATATGAATTTAATCACATCAGAAGCTCACCAAGATATCCACAAAGTAATGGTGCTGTGGAAAGGGCTATTAAAACTGTAAAATCAATATTAAGAAAAAGTATTCTGGACAATAAAGACCCCTATTTGGCTCTCTTGGATTATAGAAATACTCCTATTGATGGTCATAATACACCTGCTAACATTCTTATGTGTAGAAATCTTAGATCTTTATTGCCCTTGCCCAATGCTAAATTTAAATCTAAAATGTATCAGAAAAACAAATATTCAAATTTCATTAAAAAATCTCGAAACAATCAAAAGTTTTATTATGATAAAAAAGGTACCAGAGATCTTAGAAAATTAGACTGTGATGAAACTGTTATGATTCAATTAAAGCCTAAGGGCCAATGGCAGGAGGGTAAAATTAATAGAGTGTTACCCAACAAATCTTACCAGGTTGTCTTGATCAATGGAAGATCATATATTCGAAATCGTAGATTTATCAGACCATTTAAAAAGCATAATTTTGACAACCAGCAAAAACTTGCTGATGAAAGTATAAATAATTCATTTCAATACCCAAATTACATTGCAGTTCATGAAGATAATGCAGAAAATATTAATAACGAGAATATTGATCAAGACAATGGTGACGGAATTTTTTCAACAACGTAATTCTGATTGTGAATCTGTTGAACCTCAAACGACTAATCCAAATAAATTTGGAATTTGCATGCCTAACTCAGAAGCTAGAGGACACCTAGCAAGTAGTGCAAAAGTTTCAGAAAATGACGTTCTAGAAAATAGTATTAATAGTAATAGTGATGTCTCAAATGTTTGTAAAAGTGATCATAGCATAGATAATAGTGACGAATCCTTTAAAATGTGTGAAGAAACTGTATTAAATGAAAATAATAGTTCTAGTTTATGTTCTAGTTCCGATCAGGACACTCAAGAGCCAACTTTGGTTCCAGAAAATTTTGTAAATAAATTTGGTAGGGTTATAAAACGACCATATAGATACTCAGATATCTATAAGTAACATTGTTCTGTAAATTAATTTCCTTCCTTCTTAAAAACTAATATTGAAATGAGCTGATTTATGTACCTCATTTCAAAACTCATTACTGCGTTTATTACACAATAAACAAAGTTTTATAGATTTTTTTTTTGTCATAAAAAGAGAGGAGAAGATTGGCTGTAATTTGTGTTGTATGCATTGAAGGTTACATAGCGTCTCTGTAGTTCTAATCTAGGTGCTAAAAGGCTGTACAAACAGTCGTATTTGTTTTGGGATTAATTTGAGTTGTTTGTAATTTTGAATTGTTACAGCATTGTATGTTCTGTTCATGGAACAGCAGTTAATGCAGCATTGTAAATGTTACTGCTATACTAGTGATAAAATGTGATTCTTGTCTCTGTGATACTAATTTATTAATTGTAATTTGTATATTGTAATTAAGTCTTAATTTAAGAAGGGAGATGTAAAGTATGAACATGAACGCACACCTCGTCACATGACGTAGGTTAATGTCAATTGTCAACCTGCGGATTTACAATAAATCATATATTCAGTGTCCACTAGAACGTCGTTTAATTCACAACCTCCTCCTCCTAACCACACATAAGATAAGACAAAAACATTACTAATGATAATAGCCATATTAAAAAAACTCTCCTTAGAGTGCAAAAGTTTTATTTTATTTAAGTAAATATTAGTAGAATTTTGATATTTTTTGAGCCACCCTGTATGCTGTTTGACTTGCAACCATTCTGAGTGCACCTAATATGATTATCAGACATGCGCCAACTTTTGGCCTTGTTTGTATTTTGATTGTGCTATTACTAAAAAAAATCCCATATGTTGCACACTTAAGTAATGACACTGTATATTTTGAAAAACTTATTTCAGATTCCCATTGTCACTTTTTATTCTCTACATGAGAGCGGTATTGAATTTAAAATCCAACGTTTCGTTCTTCTGGAATCATCATCAATTTATTTTTTTTAAATACGGACCTGCTTTTTTTACTGTGTTATTGAAAAATTATAAGCATTTTTGGGTTTAGGATAAACATAGATATTTGGAAGACGTGGCAGCATTGCCTTCATGTTGGAGAAGGAGACGACGAGACGAGAAGAGTTCAGTTAGCAACAAGCGTCCATGTCGGTAAGTTCAACCGAGCGCTGTTCGACTCAAAATTCCATGTTTTTCATGATTTCATATTAAAATACAGTCCACTTTCAAATCAAAATTTATTATTTAAACCAGTAACGCATCACAAACAAAACGACCTTGCAGATATATTACTACGTTGGCAAAGACACCGAGTGGCCTTTATAACAGATATTGAAAAAATATATCGAATGATAATGATCCATCCAGAAGACCAACAATACCAACGCATAATATGGGGATTCGACGTAAATCTGCCACCTCAAGAATATCGATTAACCACCTTAACATATGGCACAGCCGCAGGTCATTACATCAACTAGCACAAGATGAAAAAGAAAACTACCAGCATGCTCCCAAAAAACTAGTAGAAAATTTCAAGATCTACGCATAGGATTGACTCAATGATAACCCTAGGCTGGGTAAAAGGGGATCTTACACGGTGGAATACATTCATCGCCAATCGAGTCGCAGCAGTCTCGAAGAAAATACCGCCGACACAATGTAGTCACGTTAAATCGAGCGAGAATCCAGCCGATGCCATTTCACGAGGCATCAGCATAGAGACATTAAAAAATTCAAACCTGTGGTGGACAGGACCCGAATGGCTAATTAATGAAGAAAGTTGGCCAAAATACACCTACATCCCGAAAATCACAGAAGGAACCAAACGAACACAGTGCCACCAGGCACAAGTTGCGCTACAAGATGATTTCTGGTGAAGATTTTCAACATTTTTACGAAAATGACGAAGGTATTGTCATATTGCAGAAGAATGATGAAAAACTCACGAAAAGAGAACTTGTCTCCCGATGAATAACAAAAGACACTGATCATCAGATGCGTACAAGAGATAGAGTTTGATGAAGAAAAAAAAATGCCTGAAAGAGAAGAAGAACATAGACAAAAAAAAGTAGGCTAAAAACTTTGAATCCAATATTCGACCAAGAAGGCAAGGTATACTACGAGTGGAAGACAGATTAAAAAACGCAGAGATTCCGTACAACGAAAAACACCCAATTATTCTCCCAAGAAATAATCATTTTACAAGGATCATTCAAGAAGCCCATGCAAAAACCCTGCACGGAGGCAACCAGCTCACTCTAGCATACACTAGACAAAAATTTTGGATAATCAATGCGAAAAGAGTTATAAGATGCATGTTAATTGATGGGCGATTTACCGAAGGAAAGAGTAACTCCATCACCACCATTTTCAAATACAGGGATTGACTACGCAGGGCCCATTCCAGTTCGAGCAACTAAAGGGAGAGGCTACAAGTCATACAAAGGCTACATTGCTATTTTTGTATGTCTGGCAACAAAGGCGATACACATAGAAATCGTCAGGGACTTGACAACAGAAACATTCTTAGCAGCCCTAAGGAGATTGAGGGCTCGGCGGGATCAGTGCACAATAGCACAACATTCGTAAGAGCAGCTAATCAACTCAATGAAGAAATATTAAAATTGATGAAATCACTAGAATTACAGAACACTGTCAACACTTTAGGGACAAAATTGCACTTTATTCCACCAGCATCTCCACATTTTGGAGGGCTCTGGGAGGCAGGTGTTAAATGTTAAATCCATAAAGCATCATCTGAACAAAAGAGTCATCGGAGAAACAACATTGACATATGAAGAACTACCTACGTTAGCATATCAAATAGAGGCATGTTCAAATTTCCGCCCCCTCACTGTGTTAAGCGAAAACACAGACGACGAAATTGTCGTCACACCGACACTTTCTGATAGGCAAGGCTTGGACAGTAGCAATTTAGGAAATAGATGGAAAGTGGGTCAAAAAATGAGAAGAGATTTTCAGAAAGCGTGGTCAACAGAATACCTACAGAGGCTACAATCACGAAACAAAGGGAAAGAACACTAAGAGAATCTAGCAAGAATTACTGAAGTGCACCCTGGCGACGATGGGTTAGTACGAGTCGCCACCCTACAAAAAGGCACAACTTAACTGAAAAGAGCTATTACCAAACTAATTCCATTACCATGTGAAGAGGAGGAAACGGATTCCACTTCCAAAAACGGCTCCTACCAGAGAGGCTCAAAAAGTTCGAGGCTATAAAAAGAAAAAAACGAAAATTCCACTATATGAATCCTATGTACAATGTTCGTATTGTGCATAGGACACCAACCCAAACTATACACTACACTATCCAGAAAAAGGATTATTTATTAACACTTGGGCACATCCAGAATCAACTAAGGGAAATTCGGATTACAGCTAGATATCAACAAAATAAGAACCACGGACGATGCTAGGAAAGTGACAGAAGTTATAGACAACTTTGAAAAGTTATGCGACCTAGCAAAAAAATTGTCCGCAGAAACGCAATGCAGTTCACTAGCACATGATCTGACTGAGAAAAATGAGATATATTCACAAACGGCTTTTTCTCAACACGCACAAGTAAATGAGGGATCCTCGACAAATTTATGAAAGCAGTATTTGGAGTGAATAAGGAAGTGTTCAAGGACATCGACAGTCTTCAAGACAATCAAGAAGAATTGATTAAAGCATCAAAACATCAAAGGAGATTAATGATGTCAGCCGTTCAAAAATCAACGACACAAAAATTAAAATTGATACACAACTACAGAAATTTCAAGAAAAACTCAACAAGCGACTCAAGGCCTTGAATGACATGAGAGCATAGTAGAGAACAGCAAATACCAACACCCTAAACATCCGTGTTTTGAGTGCATACCAATTAGCGTCAAACTATATATCGGAACTCAGCAACTATTACGCCAAGCTGTTAACAGTCATTTACCAGGGAGGATAAATATACATACTACTATCACCTGTCCATGCATCCAGGATAATCAAAGAGGTAAATGGGAAGCTGCCATCACATCTGAGGATATGGCGGAATCTGGCGAGAACAGTCGCGGAGGAGGCGGAAAAGAATGGTTCAGGATATATATGCATACTTCACCATTGAGATATAGCAGAATATGTACTGATGAAAGCATTTCCGATACCACTTCGCATACAAAATGAATCCTATTGGCCATTGGGCATTAGACGTCACAAACAATATCATTGCAGTCGACTACAATAACCAACACTACTACCAACTAACTCACGAAGATATGCAGTCATCTACTGAAAGAAAAACCACGTACGTTCGCAAACCAGCCACTGTCAAGAATATTGAAGCAAGCCCAAGTTGGTGGTGTTCCATTTAAAATAACGATGTTGCCACTAGTTTAGAGTAGAAGCGGCAACACCGCATAAACAAAAATATTTTTAAAGTGTAGATCCTGGTCGTTTATCCCGGTTGTCAAATTTTCAAAATGATCCGCTTTTTAGTTCTCCATAAACGTCTAATACGCCATCCACCGTGGGACACCCTGTATATTACACCATGCTCAGCCAACATTGCGATCACATTCAACGGAATCTGCGAAAACTATTGAACAGCACCAGTATAATAAAAAATATCAGATTGCATCGTACCGCATCCGTAATTGCAAGCTACTCAAAATCGTCAACGGTGGAAATTAATTCACACATTAGCAACCGCACAATGACCTCCGACGTCACCGAATTTGAAGACGAACCTGTATTCACAATAAATCACGACGACCTGACCAAGTCAAAGTTAATGAGGTGCTCCTAGGTCAGCAACTTGAAGATAAAGTATGGAAAAAGGTGGAAAATCATTCATATATCACCGGTGCGACAACGATCGTAACTGTCGCATGCGGTATAATAATCGGACGGCTATTATATCAATACCACGCCGGGCGACAGAGTCCAAAACCGGCAAACCAGGAATCAGTGGCGATGGAACTATAGAGCCCTTAGCAACGGATATACCACCGACCAGATTATATCCGAGAGCAGACATAGGGCAAGACAAGGAAGATGTTTGATTAACATTTTTCTATATTAAATCTTGGAAAACTCGGATTTTTCTTAACATAATAATTTCAATTATTTTAAAAGTAGTGCTTATATATAATTTAAATATAAATTGCCTTGACTCAAGGTTAGATTATGCGAACAATACGAACTGGAAATGGAACATACCTGACTGAGTACAAAACTTAGATGTTTAATGTTATAGCAATTTTGTCTTGGATTGGAATTTGACGTGAGAATCCAGGGTTAGAGCAATGTCAGTTTATGTAGAATTTGAGTAGGGTTTGATCCAAGATTTAGGAAAGACAATGCCGTTTTCAAGTTAAAGCCTCCATAGCTACGGCATAGACAACTTATCCCAACAAAAGACTAAAAGAAAATGAACCAATTTCTGTCTTATAAAAACTCAACACAACAATAAAATAAACTTTCCCAACTTGAGATCTGAGCAAAATAACAAATTTAGGTATATTTCTACTTTTTTTTTAAAGCAAGAAAATAGATACCTACATTCATATTACTCTGACCAAATTCCATCCATTTGTGATGTTTTTTTTTTTATAGTTATAGAATTGTTATGTGTACCTACTATTTGTTTTTTGCTAACAGTATGAGAAGAACTTATATCCAAGTCCACAGCACTATAATGATTTAGTGATGGGATATGGTTTAGAACCAGACCAAACTCAAGTCTCATCCAAATGGCCTGGCAAATTGCACTAAAATCAGCAAACAATATGTGATAGACTGCACTTAGTCAAAAATTTAATATCCAATCACCAACATAATTTCCGAAATATGTGTATAAGAAAAAATCCCATTTTTTCATATATATGTATCTCTTTAAATATTTCAAATTGACAGTTGATTCGAATTTATTGTAGAAACTTTAAATATTCTATGTTTGTGTATAATTTATGTATTTTTTCACTCAAAATCCAATGATATGTTGAAACATTCTCATACTTTCACTGTTAAAACCTGACAAATTACAAGTTAAGATTCATTTTGGGTACCTATTATTTATATAATAATATTTACACTATTGCAATTATTAACTTATGCTAGGAGCTTCTAAAAACTTTCCCTGGAAAAAACAATCAATTTTTCTGATATCTAATATCCCATATATGAAGCAAGGTAGTGGGTAGTGGGTGATATTAATGCAAAATTGTGTATAGTAATAATCTATTATTATCTAACCAACAGTAATGACCCAACATCAAATGTCCTGGATAATTATGACAGGCATAGCCATATTGAAAATATGTATTTTAGTTTTTTATTTTATTCTGAAGAGAGTATTCATTTAATGAATTATTTTAAAAAAACCTGGCTTGTTCATTGATACGTGATTTCCAGCTTTATTTTAATTTAGATCAAAATGTCATTAACTGAATTATTTAGGCAAGAAGTTTTGACAATAGTATTGTACCAATGAAAAAAATCTGGCCTAAATCCAAATTACATGTTGAAAAAAAAAACATGTAAAATTTTAGGAAATAATAATAATAAATAAATTATAAATTTGGCGTTATAAAAATTCAATAAAAAGTTTGGTTCATTAATAACTATTTGTTTTTTGCCTAAACTAACTGACTATTATAGGAAGATGCCTTTAAGGAGCCAAGTTTATTTCCATAATGATTCATGAGACAGCTCCCTGTAAAAGTCAATTAGCAATACAACATATCATATCAGACTCAGGTTCTGGTAAAAATAATATCGATCAGCCTTCTAATTCAAGCCTATATTGAATCTGTCCCAGTCGAGAGAATGTTTAGAGTAGCGGACAGGGCTGAATATTTCCGTCACATAATCAGGGTCAGTGCACACGACAACACAGCTTGAAAATCCAGAATGGGAGGAATACATAAAAATGCCACTGCTTCAAGTATTTACAAAATTCTTGAAGTTTGTACTACACTAACGCACTTACTACTACTCTCCATAGTTAGTAGTACATGCTTATTAGTTTAGTATAAACTTCAAGAATTTGAAGCTTAGCATACGTACTACTTTTTATGCAATCTCCTCTACATGTATTTACGCCGTAGCTATGGAGGCTCTAACTTGAAACCAACATTATTTTTCGTAAATCTTGGATCAGACTCTGGCCTTATGAGCCCTATGGCCGGACTGATTTTGGATTCCAATTGCATCAACCATGACATAGAAGTACAGGCCCGATATGGTCAAGTATGAAAATAAAAAGCTTGAAGATTTTCAAGAAACGGGGGCCGTTCGATTTTTGTGGTCCCAAATTTGTTCACAGTCACTGCTTGAGTCTTTCCGGAGAGCTTTGCATGGTATATGACTGAATTTATTGCGAAGCAGCTTGTAGAAATGAATATGTATCATTTATAAGAAGGTTTCTGAAAATTGATGGAATTTTGGTTTTGCCATATTTTTCTACGTCAATTTTACTTTCTGGTAGTTCTCTAGAATATTTCAAACCAATTGAGGTTCAGCCAATATCCCATATCCCAAGTCCCATGTCTCACCATTCTCAACATTTTAAGAAATAACATAGAAATCCAGTATGCTCCAGAACCAACTAGGAGAAGAACCATCTCCCGCGCCAGGAAAATAAAACATGTGATAATACCTCAGCCTCTACCAGATAGTTCAGATGATGGTCTATATTGTTGAGTATGCAAATGGGAAGCTTAAAGATTTCAAGAAACGGGGACCATGGATGAGTTTGATTATTTTAGACCCAAATATATTCACGGTAAAATCTTGAGTCTTGCCAGCGAGTTTTCCATGGTGTATGACTGATTATATTGTCGGGAATTAGCCAACGGCAGAAAAATAATTCTCCGCCTATGGTTATGACTTCCCTATGGCTTGCCTAGCCTCAACAGTTCCAGTTGAATCCTCCTCCGTATGAATGGTGGGATTTTGGAAGTTGACGTAGTACCAATGGGAGGACAACAGGATTACATCTAGGAGAGTGGGGATGTGTATGAGGGGCGACTTTTCCGCTAGTATTATTGCAGACTAAGCTGGAAATGTGCTAAGTCAGTCCTAATTTTATGATTGTCTCATTCTAACTTGTGTTTTAGGGATTAAACATGTTATTTATTAATTTTGTACAAATGGTAACAAATCATGGTACGACACTGAAGGTAGGATAGTGAGGGTAATTTTCCTGATGAAAATTTTGTATAAAAATGCATGTTGGCGTAAAGTGGGTAGCTCTTACTTAACTCTTCAAGTGCAGAAAGTTACCCTGCTAGTTTGCATTTCGAAATTATCAGCTGAGTAAAACTATTTGAACTATGTAGTGATGGAACACTTCATCCCAGAAAAAATCTACTTTCCGCCAACACCGTAAGTGGTATTTTATTTATTATTTCTTTCTCGAATTGTGAGATTTAGAAGTTACATATTTTTGAATGTCCTGAGGATGCAAATAAATTTTGCGAAACGTCGACAATTTTGAAGAAAACAAACTTCCGTTGGTGTTTTTTTTTTCCGATCCTACCCCAATCAAAACAAAGCAAAATTACATATTTTTGCCTTATATTTAATCCCATTATTTTAGCAAGTAAGAACTTATTTGAAACTTATAATTATCTTTATTATTTAAACTCAATATCCAATTATCCATCAAATAATTATATTTTCGCTTCGCTCATCTTATAGAAATAAATTTGATTTAAACTGATTATCTAGTTTCTTTTGAATTAATGGTTATCAGAAGTTTTAAATAGAGAAAACAAGGAAGATCTTGGTAAGAAAATATAAAAGTATATTTTCACTTTAGGATCGGATTTTTAACAAAAGTCCGATCCGACAATATCACGGAGCTGCTTGTTGTACAGATGAACATTTCTCAGTTTAAGAAAATTTCTCAAAATTGACTGAATTTTGGTTTTGCCATCCAACTTCTACAAAGCAGGTATTTTTTGAATGTCGATTTGCATTAATTTTACTTTCTAGTAGTTCTCTTGAACATATCAAACCAATTGAGGTTCACCCAATATCCCTTCAAGTCCCATGTCTTAGTACCCTTTGCAACATTTTAAGAAATAACATAGAAATCCAGTATGGTCCGGAATCAACTAAGACAAGAAGCATCTTCCCCGCCAGAAAAACCAGGAAAATCAAACATGCGATAATACCTCAGCCTCTATCAGATAGTTCAGATGAGGAATCGCAAATTACAATAGTTCCTAACTACAATAATGAGGGAAGTCATGTATCAGCAGCAGCCAAGAAGAGATGGAATTTTCTGGGCGTTTGGGGAGCTCCGTTTTGAAGTTGGGCAGGAAGCTTTCATCGGGATATTTTGCTGTGAGGGCTGTAAGAGGCAAGTTAGGTGCGGTATATTTTGCCTGATTCGAATCGCTACTCCGATATGGAATTCCATTTTGGAACCTTCTGAGTGTGCTTTTTGTAGAAAAGGCTGTACATTTCATCGCAGATATAGAGATCATGCAGGACTGATCTTCTTTCACCAAGAATTTTAACTCTAACCTTCCTTTTTGTGATTGAGACTATTACTGTTCAAGAATCCTGGGGCTTCCACCTCAGCGAGAGATGGTGACTTGCTCTTGCCAATTCCTACTCGTCAACTGACTGAGGGAGGGTATTATAAAACTATTTTGACAGAAAACTAGAAATTAACTGCTGAAATTACTATGAAATTCCGGAAGTTAACTTTTAGTTTTCTATCAAAATAGTTTTATAATACCCGCCTTAAGTCCTTTTTGAACTTTAAGATCAGAAAGATTTTTACTAACTCGCTCATGTATATAGATAGGTAGATAGATTTATTAAGACTGCTGTTGTATGCCATAAATTACATGTCAACAAAATATAAAAATCAGCAATCAATATAACAGAAAAAAAGGTTCCTTTTAAATCTAGATAGGTATAATTTTTAAATTTCAGTTAACATGCTTCGTCAATCCAAAAAATAAGCTCTTTTTGATTAAAAACATAGTAGTTCAAATGAACCAATCCTGTCATAATTTCCCTAGAACCCCGCATTTCTTGAGAAATTGTGTTTAATATTAACAGTGGGTCCTACAGCTATATGCAACATCCTCTTTTAACTTAAAAGCGCTTTTTAAAACTGGTCACTTTTAAAAATATGTATTCTAATCCATACAATTTTTTTAAAGAACCAGTTTCAAAAAGTGCTTTTAAGTTAAAAGAAGATGTTGCATACAACTGCTAGTGTTTAGTTTTTCTCAAATTTTAGCTCCTATTTTCTTCAAAAAAATAAAAATAAAAAATAAAAGCTAAAGCAGTTTAAATAGTTTGTTTGTTAATTCCTAGGGCTTACGACTAAACTGAATTCGGTGGAAAACTGGTGGAACTATTCGAATGTGCTAGACTGAGCATAGAGCCTGACAGACTAGTTTCTCCATCAAAATCGTCTCTGGATAGTTCGCCTAGCGCCAAGGACATTTCTGCTATAGCTAATGCACTAAAAATAATTGTTTGTTTAAAAAATTTGTATCAAAGAATTTTAAAAAGTGAAAGATTACAAATTGGTGATAATTGTAAATTTTAACGTCTAAAGTGCCAAAATGGGTATAACCTTAGAAGCAGATAGGGACCAGAATAGGCTTATCTAGCAAAGTTACGAATAACTAAATCAAATTCTTTAACGTAGTATCCAATAAATCATTATTAATCCGCTTATATAAAATTTGAATCGAAATGTATGCCAAGGCAAAGTTAAGATCTCAGGTAAGGTTAGTCCCCTATGACACTTTTCATGTTAACATCAATCAAAATATTCTTACCTGAATCCAAGCCTAACAGATTCCTCATCAAACTCCTCCAACTCCCTTTCCTGTTTTTCGTGCAATATCCTTATCCTCTCTCCTCGTTCCTCAATGAATCTTTGATTTTCAGCCAACATCTTTTGTTCTAAAAGCGCCCTTCTAACCTCCACCCTCTCTTGCAATTCGTTCTTTTCGCGCTCCCTTTGCGCTTGCGCCTGCATTTTGTTCTTACTCTGATATGCTATCAAAATTTCCAGCTCGTATTGTAATCTTTCTTTCATTTGCTGACATTGAAGCTGAAAAAAATTAGAGTATGTCAAATTATCGGTTTCCAAAATTAATTGAAGTTTACCTCTTGACATTCATCAAGTTTAATGCATTGTTTCTGCAGCATTTCAGCGATGCTTTGTTCATATTGGTCTCCTAAAAGTGCCAATTTTCTTCTCTGTTCCTCCTTAAGCTTCTTGATTACCGTTTTTTGTTGTTCTTTGGGGGTGCTCATCAAAATTTGAGCTTTCAGAGCTTTGTACTGCTTTGTTTGCACTTTGCAAGTTTCTCTGAATTGCTTGCGCACCAACATCTATAACAAAAAAAAATGTCCTATATCACCAAATATAGAAAATCAGTTGTTAGTTTCTAGACTGTTTCAATCTGAATAAATTACCCTCTTTGATTTCGATTAGGAATGAAATGTGGGTGTGAAGGAACCGTGTTGGTTTTCTAACTTTTCAATTAACAAACATAGAAATCCCTTTATAGTACGGGATACGAGACCTATTTCATCAAATCATTTTACACCGTCTTGCATTGTTATCATCAGTTAGATACCATGATGGTGAAACGCACTTGTGCAGGGAAATAGATGGGAGTGGGGGATTTCGCTGAAAAAAATATTTCAGAAAATGTTGTCATAAACAAGGAAAATATATAATTATACACCGTCTTGCATTTATTTATTGAGTTAATTTGTACACAAACAAAATTAGATTAACACATGCAAGACGTTTTCATGGAGGTTTTGGAGTTGTAATATAAGATAGACATTGTCAATTTTTCAGAGCGGTGAAATATCATTTTACACCACTTCATTGTTGATTTAGATTAAAGCTTGAATATAGAATAGCTACTGGATACTGATGCAAGACGTCCTGTGGAGGTATAACAAGCTGCAAGACGGAGGTCAATGTGTTGTCTTATGAAGGAGTGAGAAATCATTTTACACTGTCTTGCACTGGTACTAATGGGAAAAACAGAACACATTGATAACATTTTTAAAAATACAAGACGTTCTAAATGAAAAAAAAAGGACTGCAAGTTAACTAATTTTGACGGGAGTCAATCCATTAGGTACAAAGGTGAATACTACTCCAAATTACAAATAACACACATTAATTTTAAATATTTTTGCTCTTTAAACGTAGAATAATTCTATTTTGCAAAAGTCTCTCAAATAGATTATGTATATTTGAATGTCTCTACGGACATCAAATAAGAAAAGGTTGAAAATTGTTCTTTTTCTGGCGGCCTATAATCATTTAAGTTTTTTTGGGGTGGATATGCCATATCACATAACGGATTGTAACTATTAGCTAAATTTGAGAAATTTGATTTTGAAGCAGCAAAAAAATGACACAACAAATGATCTATCTGGAATTGTAAACAGAAATTATAATTCCTGTATTCAGCAGACTCCCCTGGGGCCTTATTCTTGAATCTTAGGGAGTAGAAAACGTAAGAGAAAGTGGGAGTGTCTTCTTGGAATTAAAAATACTGTATTCTTGAGAAAATTTCTCTCATGAATTGATAGACAGATTTCTCCCTAAGGGTATTTCATTTTCTACTGGTCCCAAGTGAGAGAAAATGAAAATGGGAATGGAAATAAAGATAAATAAACAACAAAACGTTAAAAAATTGACGGAGAAGTTTTTTTTTAAGTGAAAGTGAGTGTTTTTTTTTTTGGACAATGGATTCATAGTTATTTATGGTACTGGTGTGTTATGTTGAAAATAAGTCACGCGAGAAAGATTTATACCACGAGGCCGTCAGGCCGAGTGGTATAAATTCTCAAGTGACTTACGAAACATAACACACGAGTGGCATACAATATTTTATCCAACAAGTGTTTATCCAACATTGTTTATCCAACAAGTATTTATCCAACAATGTTTTATCCAGCAACTTGACTCTCTCATGATATCTACAATGTTAAGTAAAGCAACAGAAATATTATCCTCCATTATATGGGTTTGTTTTCTTAGCTCATCTCGTTGCTCTTTCAAAAACTTGATTTTTTCCAGAGCGGCGTGTATCTGTTCCATTTTGAGCATGTCCTAAAATGTTCACCATTTTACTGTGGTTTTTGATAGATTCATTCGGTCTCATGGTTTTTGTCACTCTGGGTTTGCCTCTGGGTATAGCATTCTTCCTTGTATTTTCAGTTTTATTTTTCTCAAGCTCAGTGGGAAAATCTAAGTTTTTATTTGCTTTTGCTGGAGGTGTGATGCAGACATGGTCAAGCTGTAAGACAAAGATGTTTATTACATAGCTGTTGATACCAAGCAAGCAAAAGGTTTAAGTTCTTGTAAATGTTTCTTATAATAATGTATTTTACAACCCTGCCTCAAACAATGTTCACCTTTATATTTGGTACAGATCCTACCATTGCTGGTAGATTGTTGGCAGGGAACATCTCATCAAATATTACCTCTTCATCAAGGATGATGCCTGGTTCAGGCACCTTCATATTGCCTATAATACACACTGGACTTGTAAGCTCCATAACTTTAGTGTCAACATTATCTGTAGTAACTGGTTCAGGAGGCCCCCCTCCTGTACCTTTGTGGTATTTTTTTTTCTCTAGCCAATTTTGATTTGCTATTTTTTTTATGTCGATCTAGGTCTAACACAAAAAAAAATGAGGAAAAGGTTCCAAAGCATATTTTGACCAAATTTTATGAAAAGTACCCTTGCGCCAAGCATTCCACTTTTTAGGGCTCCATTGGGATGAGCATTTAGAATGGTCGCAGGCTCTTGCCATAAAGCTCTTGAGCCTGCCATTGTAAAATTAGGTGAAAAGTCTGCAGCAAATGATTTTGGTCTGGCTTTGATGAAATTCAACATGATTTCCTTTTGTTCTTATTTCATGTGTGTGTGCGCCATTCTTGTTCTAAATTCCTACTTTCCGAAAAGCGTTGAATGTTGGTATTTATTAGTACCTATAGTATAAATGCATACATAAACACTATAAACTCACCTTTGAAATAATCTAATGGCGTTTCCGATTGGTAGATTCAGTGCGCACTGAATGTATTTGCATCCTTTTAATCGACCGATAGAAGAAAAGACAGAAATAGAAAAAATTGCACTAGTTCCGCACTAGATCTACCAATCGGAAACGCCATAAATAAAGGGAGGGTTTTCTCACCCACTATACCCACTGCACACTTGTGGTATATTCGCGTATATGGCCTGCCTAAGAATTGTCAGATAAGCCACAGATAAATTTAAAAAGCTCAATAATTTACAACAAAAAGTGCATTTGTCAAAAAGCTGTCAGTGGACAATTTTCATCATTTGTTATTGGTCAGAATTTTGTACTAAAATCTGGCAGCAGTGTTCGCTATTTCTCTCACTACTTCCTACTCCCTAGTTTCAAGAATACAGCTTTTTAAAATCGAGAGAAATGATGAAGGAGTAGAAAAATCAGGGAGCTCCCCAGAGAGTACAATTTTCTCTCAAATCAAGAATAAGGACCCTGGTAGTCGATTCTCGAATTTGGTAGAAGTGAACGATTCCCTAAGAGAAGTGAGATATCACATCGCACGGTCGTTCTCTTGGCGCCAAAGTTAGTATTCTCGAAAGTATGGGATTATGATAGAATGAGAGAAAACTTGTCAAATCATAATGCGTTGTTGCCAACAGTAATATGTAGAATTAGCCAGAATTTTAGTGCGTTAAAAGGACGAATGTCATGAGAAAGAAGAAAATTAGTTTGTTTTATTCAATGAACTATAACCAAAAACTGGAATGCTAACACATAAGGACGAACTTGAAGCCTAGTGCGGCTGCTGCGGAGGGGATACCTGTTTTTGTCGCACTCATTATGTTAAATGGCGAAAATTGCTTCCAACACGTATTCCAATTGATGAAACCTGTGAAGGGAAATATGACAAAACTTTCGAAAACGTCATATGTCAGCGAGCAACAGAAAAAAACAACATTCCCCCTTGTGGCATCTGTCTTTCATGGCTTCATTTTTTTGGCAGATATGGCAATGTGTGCGCATTCCAGTTTTTAGCTATAGTTCATTGGTTTTATTTGTGTTTTGGGACGGAACCTCATTCTTTGCTTATTGATTTACTGAAAATCAAATCATTATTCTATTTATAATTTTTATTTTTGTGTTGTTTGGATCATGAGGAAAATGCATTTGTAAAAATCAAGATGTTCACCTATAAATCATACTCCAAAAGAAATGCTCACTGAATTTGTAAGGCAGAATGAGAAACTTCAAAGTGGAAAATTTACCCCCGATTTTACCACAGTTTTTAATGATAAAGTTCTAGTTGAAGCCCGTATAAAAGGTGTCATCAAATCAATTAAATTTCGAGCAAGATCTTTGCCTAATCTAAATCTAATATATAAAATTCTCATGTCACAGTTTTAGTTACCTTCGTCCTCCGAAACGGCTTTACAGATTTTTATGAAATTTTATATGTATATTCGGTAGGTCTGAGAATAGGTTTTAAGCTATTTTTTATACCCCTAAGTGATAAGGGTGGTCCACCCCAAATTTTTTTAATTTTTTCTTGCTTCTCACCACTACATAACTTAACTTATTTTTGTTTATTCCATTCAACCGACGTAACAGTATTATCTTATAGCATTTTCGACTTTACTGCTCCCAGAGCGCTCTCTATTTGGGCGGTGACGTCACAGATCTCTGCGGAAGGGCTCCGAGAGCGTTTATGATCCAAGCGAGGCACCCTATTTGAAATTTGAAATCAATAGCCAAATGATGTAAAATTTCAATTTTAGGTGATTTCTGATCCAGAGAGTAAACATTAATTTTCTTCAACCAAGACCAAATTCACCATTGAAAAAAACTGCATTTAATTCATCTACTAGATACGTTAACACAACATTTAATAGGTATTTAATAATTCATAGGCGGTACGAAGTTCGCCGGTTCAGCTAGTAGTTTTATAAATTTATTATCCGTTAAATCAAAGGGATTTTCTCTTCTGTAAAATCTCCTTATAGGCCTTTCTTCTTGCTCTTCTGCATCTATTAGATCAATCAGTAAACTCTGTCTAACCAAAGTTGAACGTTGAAGGTCACTTACTCGAATATTATCACAGACATGATTTTTGCTGCTGTCTTTATTGCACGCGCACTGTGTTTATCAAACAAAAAAAGGTCCGAACATGTGAATCCTATGGTTACAAAGATGAGTATGTGACCTTCAACGTTCAACTTTGGTTAGATAGAGTTTACAAGGATTCTTCCTATAACCCCAGCTTTCATGGTTTCCCACGTTTTCGTATTGGACCGTATTTTCTACTACACAATATTCAAATG